TAGGGTCGAGTTTGATTCCTTTCTCTAACATCTTGATATATTTGTATACGGCAATTACTTTGTATTTCTGGCTAGGAGAGAAGGAGAAAGAGGAGAGAAGGGCGGCAGAAAAAATGGACATCATACTCTTGGGGAAGGGGGTGGCGGATATTTTGTGACGATGTGTGACGAGGGGTAGAGGGTAAGGAAGGGTGGCGTCAAAATTTTATCTCCTCTAGTGGTTTTTAAAACTGAAAAAAAAATAAAACTTCTCATTTTTCTGAACTGAAAGCATGACAACGCCGTTACAACGCAGTGTTAAAAATAATAAAACAAACTCAACATTTGAAATGAGATACATGTATCATTCAAGATTAAAAACATTATTCAATAAAATACTTAAAAAAACTTTTTAAAAAACCACGTTTTTCTTGTGGACTAAAAAGTAGAAAATAAATTTTTCTTTTGTGCTTCCTCGAGCTGTGCAGGTTCTTGTGATGACTGACAAAAAACGTGGATACGTTCACCATCAAATTTCCCGACCCATCTGCCCGACCCACGTTTTTTGTCAGTCATCACAAGAACCTGCACAGCTCGAGGAAGCACAAAAGAAAAATTTATTTTCTACTTTTTAGTCCACAAGAAAAACGTGGTTTTTTTAAAGTTTTTTTTAAGTATTTTATTTTCTCCTTTTTAGTCCGTTGCTACACATGAAAAACGTGGTTTTTAAAAAAGTTTTTTATGTAGTTTATTTTCTACTTTATCTAATGACTTGATTAAGTATGAATTGACTAAGTGTTTATAAATACACGGACTAAAAATATTGAGCGACCAGGATTCGAACCTGGGTTGTCGCGGCCACAACGCGAAGTACTAACCACTATACGATCACGGCCAGCGCGCTCACATCGATTGGGGCCGAAGTAACTGTGTCGATAGGCCTCCAGTCTTGTCGGTATCTTTAGAAATCGTCCTCAATTTTATGATCCTTGGGGCGTAATTAAATTAAGCTAATTACGGTCTCTAATTGCTAGTTTTTATGATTGCATCTGAAATTGTTAGGCGAAAGTAGCATGCATGCCAAATTTCAGGTGTCTAGAGCAATCAGAAGTGGGCTAATTTTCGATGTCAATTTTAACAACAAACAAATCCACACATCCACAAACGCGAAGCTGAGTTAAGAAAAACGTGTTAAAATTGGACCTTTCATTCCGACTTGCGATTTCTTTCACCGTACGTTTTCTTCTTCTATTCGCCTTTGTGAAAGATTTGCTTTCTGCATTCATCAAGAAAGTGGCACTAGACTGTGTGGCATGGGGCCTATTGATCTCACTTTACAGGAATTATGGGATCTAATAGCACTGACAAAATGTCTTTATTGTTGGTGAACACAGGAGGCAAAACTAGGTCACGTGACGGGTACCTTCAACACATAACAAAAGTATCCAGATTTGGTCTAGGCCGGGTAGGGACTTCAGTTATGAATAGGCGATACGCTCTAAAGCATAGAAGGTACCTATTCATGCTGTTTAAGTTGTATTTACGGTATAAAGAGTTTTCTAAACTTGTTTGGCAAGTCAGCGCAAATAAGTAAGAATTATTCAAACGGTTCATAATGTATCTTGAACAGGGAAGTGAGGGGAGGGGAGGCAGTGGGTTGTTTTTATACATTGTCTGTAACAAAAGGCCCTGTGTATATTACAATTTTTTGGGGGTTTTATAAATAGATCTTGAAACTTCCTAGTTTGATACCCCAGTTCCAATAGGTGGCGACCTTGTTACATGCGTCAACTAGACATTTGGTGACTAAAGCCCCGCATATACACACGTAGGCATATATAAGTTTAGACGCCGTTAACGGCACCCTTAGCCGGATGGGCATTTTGTTAGGTATAAGTCCGCAATACAATGCATCATTAAATGATTGTTTTGTTTAGTTTTAATACCTAAAAGTGGTCAGATATATGTGAATCTTTTTTTAATATAAAACAGAGCTTTAGGGCGGGGATGGTGTTATATTAATATAAAATTAAGTAGATTCCTCTTTAGACCTAGAGATCCGTTGGGTAGATGAAGTAGAGTGCACATATTTCTTGACCTCGGTCCAGCCATCTTTACTTTCCCCAACGTTAGTTAAGTACCTAACCGAGCTGAGTGGACTCAGGGACTTCCTACAGCCATAAACAAGAATCGAGATCAGAACTCGGGACCTACGGGCTAGCTGCCAAACGCTCTACGATTCGACCACCAACATATAAAAATTGTTATAAAAGTATTTACTAACAATTTTTATTTAATCCCGTTTTACATGTCTGTGCTACTTATATCCAGCAACAAATATTTCGTAATTTTAAACTTGCCGCTCAGTGTGCTCTTGGTTCCGTTTAAGTTGGAACTTCAGTTATGAATAGGCGATTCGCTCTACAGTATAGAAGGTACATATTCGTGCTGATTGTATCTATGGTATAAAGAGTTCTCTAACACTTTGCTTGGTAAGTCAGCGTAAAGAAGTAAGAATTATTCAAACGGTTCATCATATATCTTGAACAGGGTAATGAGTGGGGGGGGGGGGATTATTAGAAAAATGTTAGATTGTGTTGGCGTGGTCGAGTCGATAAAGCTCATGGTTGCTAAACCGAAAAGTCTCGAGTTAGAACCCTCGGGCAGATAAGGCTCGTTAGCTGGGGACAGCCACTCTTCTAGGAGAGACAACTCCAAAATCAAACAACTGCTGCCTTGTAGTTTGTACTTGGTTGGACAAAGGCTATGGAAGCAAATCCAAAAAGAAAGCAGGCTGAAATCGGAGTCAATGGCCTCAATGGCGCATAACCAGTTGACACGTATCCTTAATTGTGATGGAAGCATGGTCGATTCTTCATAGCTCATGGTTGATAAATTTGAAAAAAGTCTCGAGTTCAAACCCTCTGGCAGATAAGGCTCGATCCCTCCCAACACTAAAAATTAAGAACGAAGAAGAAGAAGAAAGAAGATTGTGATAGATATTAGAGCAAAGTTAGATTGTGATTGGTTAGCAAAGTTAGAATGTGATTGGTATTAAAGCAAAGTTAGATTGTGATAAGTGTTAGAGCAAATTTAGATTGTGATATTTATTAGAGCAAAGTTAGATTTAATGCTGAGTTTAAAGTTTAAGTATAAATGGTGTTCACTGTTATTTGTTTACTTTTGTAATTCCCAATACCAAATCGTCAACAACCGCAATACTAAATAGAGTTAAATATAGTTCGTTTTGAAACTTTGCAGTATTTAGTCATTCAATCACATACAGACACCAATAAAAAATACTATAGCCACATCTAGGCGAGCGTCGTATGTATGTTAGACGTCAAGACAGGAGAGAATCGAGATAAGGAAGTGGCGTAGTAGGTGACGTATTCTGTGTGCTGCTCAGTCTAAAAACAAAATAATAGATAAAAAAAGTCTCAACACGCTAAAAAAAAAAAACTATTTCAAGCGGAACCGACTCGCTTCATTGATTAACTGTCCCACACAGTAGCGTAGCGAAGGGGGGGGGGGGTGGGGGGGGACATATGTCCCCGGGCGCCGACCTTAGGGGGCGCCAAAATGGGTTTGAAAAATAAATTGAAAGGTTGAGTGGGGTGGAAATTGAAAGTTTGAGGGGGGGGGGTGCAAGTCGAAATCTTGAGGGAGGGGTGCAAATCGAAGTTTGTCCCCGGGCGCCGGGGAAGGGTCGCTACGCCTCTGGTCCCAAACTTCTAACTCGTGCTAAGCGCCTCTACTAGACTCACTAGATGTGCACAAGATAGGTGTCAGGCTAGCAGACGTCAATGAAAAGAATCACATTAAAATCAGCAGCGACTTGCCAGATCAAACTGGATAATTCTTATGACATGATTTTTATCTCTTCCAAACCAGTGCCTTATGAATGTGTGTTGATATATGTACGAAACTAACAACGGATTTTATAAAACAACGGTATCGCGCTAAAGTATCGCATGAATAATTGTTTGTGGGTATCGAAATCAGATAAAAATTACAAGAACATAGGATAGATTTTTTTTTAAGAAAGATAGGGCTAGATCTAGATTATAATAGGGATCAGCAGCATAGATTTAGGAATGGGGGAGGGGGGGTCACCTTATATGATTATTAGACCAATTATAAGAATATAAACGGGGTCATAAATAAATGACGTCACGCTTTTTTTACGATTTTTACCTCCCCTCCCCTCCGTCACTCGTCGTCACAAAAAGCCAGACCCCCCCCTAAAATGACGTCACACCTCAACCTACAACCCCGCTCAAAATTGCAGTTGAATTTTTTTAAAACATCGATATTTTTCTAAAATCTTGTCGAAACTATTATAATTTATTAAAACAGTTATCTAAAACGCGATATAACGTCTAAAATTCCTTTTCTAACATTGATTTTTTTATAATGTAAAAGTGTGACGTCGCAACATCTGACCCCCCCCCCCCTCATCACACATAGTCACAAAATTACGGACCCCACCCCCCGTCCCCCCTTCAAGTGTGACGTCATTTATGGATGACCCCAAAATGTTTACTTACACCCAAAATGGTATAACTGTAAGCGACACGCGGGGGGCCGTAACCAAAAGCTTTAACCGAATTCGGGGGGGGGGGGGGGTCAAGCCACCTAACACCCCCCCCTGCATACGTCACTGATACCAGAGTTTCTTCCAGGCATCACTTCGGGGGGGACTTTGCCCCCCACCCCCCGCTCCGAAAAAATTCTACCGCCCCCCCCCCCCCCCCCCCCGAACGAAATGAAATTTATATAATTTATATAGAAAATATATACTTTTAACAGTGTCCGCCCCCCCCCCCCCCCCGAAGAAAGTCTACCGCCCCCCCCCCCCCCCCCCTCAGGAGAAAAAAGTCTGGAAGAAACACTGTCTGATACTAGCATAAACAAAGCTTCTATATGACAAACTAGTGTATGAACGAACATCCCCAACGCCTTCTCAAATGAACGGTTTATCTTAAGAAAATTAATTAATTTTCTATTTTATTACTTACATGATTGTTTACTAACAAGATGTTTCTTGTAATCAATAGAACCACGCGGTATCACTGACATACAGCAAGCCAAGGTTGAACAAATCACATTCTACTTTCGTTTTCAGACTTCCTACTTCGTAACTGCATTTTGTTCATTACTATCCAGCACACTCGCCGATTTTGTGTATCCCAGGGTTACTTCCCCCTCCCCTTTGTTGTCACATCAGCCTGCCCTATTCATGTATGGGATGGGAGGGAGAGAGTGGGGAGGTGTGGGGGGGGGGGGGGGGGAGATCCCTGTATCGCCATCAATAAACGGAAGTCGAGCAGCGATGGCTGACCTACAAACACTCTGTCTTGGCTCGGCCACCACACCACTGGCCGTAAGATTGGGTCATTCATGAATCGGTTGCTATAACAACATCGATTTTTGTTTTAAAATCAAACCTAACGAACTGTATTTAAATAAATATATTAGAGGGCATGGAACGGGAATGGTTGCAGACTTAGCTAGAGTTTACAATATATTAATATTTTTTTTTTATCACGTGAAATTATGCTCCAGTCCAGAAAAGGGATTTACTCCCTCCCCTCCCTCCCCCACGGCAACCCAAAACACGCAGCCTCGTCTGATGACGTCACGGACATCGAGTCAATCGATGAGGGGTGAGAGGAGCAGGCTGGGGTCCAAACGTGTCCACACAGCTGTGGGCTGGCAGAACGGCGGGCCGAGCTAAGGGCGCGCTGGTCGGCGGGAGAAAGGGAGAAATGTAGCGAAGTGAGAACAGGTCAGTGGGACAGGGGGGGGGGGGGGGTGGAGACAATGGCGAAAGGAATTTCGCGCGGTAGAAAGGCTTTTTAGAAAGACGATCAATATGGTTTAAGAAAGTCATTAATGTTCGATTTATTGTTTCAGTTGGGGCAGAGGGGGGGGGGGGGGGGGATATGGGGTGAGCGGGAAAAAAGTCACAGGAAAAATAAAAAAGGAAAAAGTCAGTTTTTGCTAGGAAAAAAAGTCACAGAAAAACAGTCACAATAGAACAATTTTATCGAAAAAAAGTCACAGAAATAAAGTCACAGAAAAAAGTCACAAAAAATCTTTTTAGAAATATTTGGATTTATTTGTTAAGAATTGTAAAATTGTGTTGCTTATTGTTGTGGGTTGTATTTTTCGATAGCATAAATTATTTATAGACGTTAAAAGCATTTTGGTTTATAACAATTGTAAGTAAAAATACTCTAACATAATTTACACAACAATCTCAACTTTTGTTACGTATTTAGTTAAATAGAGAAGTTAATTATAAAAGAAATTTAGGCACATTATTGTGTTTTGCATATGTTTTGCCGTAGGCTATTCTATGGTCGGCCTCTTTTCGGTAGGCATTGTCCGAACATATTGTGTGTTGTTGACGTTTTGTGTAAGTCAGATGTTGGCATTAAAAAAAAAAAAAAACACGATGAAAACCGCGGACTTTGGGGCATTCTATTAAATGCTATTAATATTATGTTTAACATAATTACAATCACACACTTCATACTAAATATGTTTAGATGAATTATAAAAATTACTATGCGTATACAACCTGCACACATTACATTACATTTAATTAATCCTAAGTTAATTTGCCCTCTCTGAATATTTAATACATAAAAGTATTAACAAATTCCATGTAAATATATATTTGTGACTTTTTTCCTGTGACTTTTTTCCTGTGACTTTTTTTCCTGTGACTTTTTTTCCATCATCGGATATGGGTGGGGGTTGGGAAGAAGACAATGGCGTAAGGAATTTCGTGCGGTAGAAAGGCATTTTAGAAGACGATCAACATGGTTCGAGAAAGTCATTAATGTTCGATTTATTGTTTCATTTGGGACAGAGGGGGGGGGGAAGAAGACAATGGCGTAAGGAATTTTGCGAGGTAGAAAGGCTTTTTAAGAAAGTCAAACATGTTTGATTTATTGTTTCAGTTTTTTATCATCTGCTGTTTTGTGGTTGTTGTTGTTGTTGTTGCAATGGCTGAGAACTCAGGTATGAGACTGACAAAAAGGGAGGGATGTGTCTTTATCATATTCAAATTGAAAATGTTAATGAAGTAGAACATGAAACGTTTTATGGTAAATAAAGATTACACCCCCTGTCGTGTTCTAGCTAAATACTATGCTCATAATACGCTTTGGTTATTTTAAGGATTTGAGGGTTACCGTAAAACAAGTTAATTAAAAAAGTCTAGTGACATTTATGCGCAATTTCCTTATGTTATCTAAAAATAGCTCTGACGTATAATGCTGTGGTGCATTCAAGCTAGAAGAACGATCGGTTTGTAGGTGTTTATGTAATTTTAAAATTTGTGACCGAACGAGAGGATATTTTTGAAAACTTTATTCGGCAATATTGTTCTAAATTATGGCAGGAATCGATTGGTACATGTTTCAAGTCGCTAAGTGGTCTGGTTGCCGAGATATGGGCCAAAAACTGCATTTTTTCGAGGTATTTTGGCTTTTCCGGGAAATACATGAAAGAAACCCGGAATTTTTATGGCCTATGCTCATTCTCGTAACTTGCTTAACATAATTGCTTTTGGAACTAGTCATCGATATTGCTTCGTTGAGGAGGAGATACGACTTAAAGCCCGGACACACATTCATCCATACATTCATTCATTCATCCATCCATTCCCAGAAATGACGAGTTAATAAACGCAATTCTCCAGAATGGAAATTGCGCTAAAAAACAACGACGGAACATTAAAAGGATTTTTTTTCGTCATGGATGACGTTTAGGGAGTGCATGAATTTCTCATTCACTAAAAGAACAGCTGTTACCTAGATAGGATCACCATATAGGGCCTACACTTAGAAAAAACCTGAACACTCCCAAAACCTGATTCTAGTTGCTACTGTTTTGTTCATCTTTTGATTCGTACAAAAGTCATGCTCGAGTGCTTATACAAGTTTAATGGGACAGAGGATGCCGGTTTATGGGACAGAGGGTGCCCGTTTAAAGGACATAGGGAGCCGGTTTATGGGACAGAGGAAGCCGGTTTATGGGACAGAGGTTGCCGGTTTATGGGACAGAGGGTGCCCGTTTAAAGGACATAGGGAGCCGGTTTATGGGACAGAGGAAGCCGGTTTATGGGACAGAGGTTGCCGGTTTATGGGCCAGAAGGGTGCCGGTGAGGCAGAAAATTTCCGGTCCACGGAAACGAGTTTGTCGTTGTGACCGACGGCTACCGGACATCGAAAAATGAAAACATTTTTCTATGAGAAGGTGGGGTAGTTGCTTATGAGACAGTAATGTGTAAATCTCTGGGGATAGTTGAAGCACGGGCATGCAAAAAAAAATCAATATTCCACATAAAGCCTTTGTTGTTTTTTTACATTGTTGAAACAGACGCGCAACGAAACCTCCTAATTCCCCGACACATGATATACCCGGAATTAAAGCAGACAACGAAATCTCTTTGTACCCGGTGGCTCGGTAGTTATCGTTCTTAGCACGGTCCAATTACTTCCACTGTTCTCCACACTAACACTAAAGAAGAAAAAAAAAACAAGGACGTCTTGATAACATCAGGGAGCTAAACGTGAAGGCGGTAAACGAGGTACTGGCTTGAGATTGAATGTCTGTTATGCCTGTACCTGCAATATGTCTCCCCAGAAAACCAATGGCATTGTCTAATCTGTTATGCCTGTACCTGCAATATATCTCCCCAGAAAACCAATGGCATTGTCTAATCTGTTATGCCTGTACCGCAATATATCTCCCCAGAAAACCAATGGCATTGTCTAATCTGTTATGCCTGTACCTGCAATATATCTCCCCAGAAAACCAATGGCATTGTCTAATCTGTTATTCCTGTACCTGCAATATGTCTACCCAGAAAACCAATGGTATTGTCTAATATGTTATGCCTGTACCTGCAATATGTGTCTCCAGGAAACCAATGGTATTGTCTAATCTGTTATGCTTGTACCTGCAATATGTCTCCCCCCTCCCCCTACAATCCCATGAAGCTAATGTAATTATCTAATCTGTTATGCCTGTACCTGCAACGTCTCCACCACCCCCACTCCCAATCCCATGAAGCTAATGTAACTATCTAATATGTTATGCCTGTAACTGCAGTATGTCTCCTCTCCCCCCCCCCCCCAGCATGAAGCTACTGTTATTGTCTGTTATGTTATGCCTGTACTTGCAACATGTCTCCCCCCCCCCCCCCCCATGAAGCAAATAAATCTGCATTGACATGCAATGCCACTTAGAGTGTTTCAACCCAAGTCACATAAAACAAAATTACAAAACAACAACCGAGTCGGCCCGCTCTAAGACACGAGACAAGCTAAATCCTTTGTTGTTGAGTTATATTTAAAAGTGTCAGAAGGTAAAATAGTGCGGAGGGTATTTGTGGTAAAATAGACATTATGCATAATGTGCGGAGCGTGTGTGTGTATGTATGTATGTGTGTGAAAGTTCAAATATTGTGACTCAAGCTTTACACAGTTTATATGCAGGTACTTGTATTTCTCCAGATGAAAATAAATTCTCCCAGAAGGTTGATTACGGTTTCATTCAGATCTCCTTTCTAAAACGAACGCGAACAGCTCAATGGAGGAAATGAATACATTGAATCGAAAGAACGAAGACGAAAGCAATATTTCATTCAACTCTTTTATGTATTAAATGTGTCTTTCTTCGCTTACTTTGTAGTTGACGACCCTGCGATTGAACTAAATAACACTTCTTTCAGTAATTTTAAGGAGCGTCATGGAGTTATAGAATATTGATTGCTGGCGTTTTCGCGGTGATTTTACGAATAAAGAAACTGTATTTTCTTGACATGTAAAGTGGCGCTAGAGAGGTACAGTATAAAGCATAACAGCACGCATGGAACATACGGTATTTCATCCAGAAATGATTTCTCGAATAGGACTTAAGACACGGCTTGTTTCATTTTAGTTCGGGGGAGGGGGCAGAGTTTGTACATGGGGTGGGGGTGGGTACTCCCAAAGCATGTTCACCGCC